TGAAGCCAAGGTATTTTTAAAATACCTATCTTTGGTTAGTTCAGCAGCATTTATAAACAAATATCTTTTAGCAGCTGTTGCTCCTTCCTCAGGACTCAAACAATTCAAAGAGAGCATAATAACATACAGTATGAAGATTCTCCATTTATTTTTCATCTTTATGTGGCTTTATTTTAACCTCTATTTCTTTTATTTTTATTTTTTGAGACAGGTTCTTTGTACATCTTTGTCCTGGAATAACTCTGTAGACCAGGCTGTCTTTGAACTCACAGAGATCCACTTGTCTCTGCCTTCCCAGTGCTAGGATTAAAGGTGTGTGCTACCACACCTTGAACTCAGAGATCCTTCTGTCTCTGCCTCCCCGGCATTGGGATTAAAGGCGTGTGCTACCACACCTTGAAGTCACAGAGGTCAATGTACCTCTGCCTCCCAAGTGTTGGGATTAAAGGTGTATACCACCACACCCAACTACTTTCTTTCTTTCTTTTTACTTTAAGAACTTTAACTTTTATCCTGCAAATATTTTTAACACACTGTAAACCATTTAGAGGTTTTCTTCCTCTTTGAATCTCTCTTTACTGTATATCTCTCTTTTTCTGATCACATGAACCTTTAATTTACTCAGCAATATCAGTAGGACTAAAGCCGTGGCTTTGACAGCTAGATCCAGCCCATTCCTTAGCTTTCCATCCTCTTGGCAGAGGTACTACTAGAACCATTTTTATTGCCACTACTCTATGGCATTTCAAGGTCCTTGCCAGCAAGCAAGCTGCAGCATTCTGCTCACAGACCACACTCAGTCAAACTGCCTGCCTGAAAGAGTCAGAGATTGCCCTGGCAGGACGGCCCAGAAAGCCAGCATTTTAGTACGGCGCAGCTTTTTTTCCTGCTGTGGCTGAAAACTGAAAAGCATGCGTTCAGCTTTTCATCAACACCACTTAAGTGTTTCGTGGTAGGACCTCTTAAAAGAGCTGAAGGGTTGTGCAGCTAAAGCTGAGTCAGGAAGCCTCTCTTAGATGAGAGCGCTTGCTTGCTTCTAGCAAGCAGAATAGACCCGAGAAATTGCTGCTACCAAGAAAACATGCTTTACTCTATTCTTTCCCAAACTTTCTCAGGCTTTCTGTGGATGCAGTTATCCATGTCTGGGCACCATTTGTAACATGACGGGGCTGACTTGTTGGGGTTTCTGTCCCGCCCGGTACCCCACAGCCTGGAAGCCTGAAGATGGATGCCCCAATGGTACAGAGGAACTTTGGGTGACTGTCCAGGCAGCAAGATGTCTCTGTCATTTCTAGAGTTTTAGAAGTTGCTTACTTCTTGTTTACTTAGGTAATATTATATCCTTCTGGAGTCTTTGATGGAGATGAAGAATGGTTAGTTACAGTTATAGTTTTCTATTATTATGATAAAGATAAAATAGATATAAATATTGTAACTGTAATTCTTACTCAATAACTGTTTTGTTATATGTAATTTTACTATGTTAAAATGAAAGCCTTTCTTTTTTGTTTAAATAGAAAAAGGGGAAATGATGTAGATGGGCCTTCTGTCTATGTGTTATTTTCATTGGTTAATAAAGAGACTGCCTTGGCCCTCTGATAGGACAGAAAATCAGGTAGGCAGAGTAAACAGAACAGAATGCTGGGAAGAGGGCAATGAGGCAGATGCCATGGAGCCAGCCACCAGGTCAGACATGCTGAATCTTTCCCGGTAAGCCACCACCTCGTAGTGCTACACAGATTATTAGAAATGGATTAATCAAGATGTGAGAGTTAGCCAGTAACTGGCTCTCTAGAGATAATGGGCCAGGCAGTGTTTAAATGAATACAATTTGTGTGTTGTTATTTTCGGGGCTAAGCTAGTCATTCGGGAGCTGGGCAGGACGAAAAGCAGGCCTACTCGCAGCTCCACATTACAGGAGAGAGGCAGAAGCTGCCTCTTCAGGAGAGAGACAGAAAAAAAAGAATTCAGGCTGGAAGCAGAAGGAAGATCAGCTTGCCTTGGTGGATGGGGGAGGGAGTGGGTGGAACTTGTCTCTTAAAGGGACAGGACAGACCATTACATCTAGGATGCTACCTGATGACATTTTTAGCTTTTGGATTTGTAGAAGCTATTTGCTTTCTATGTCAGTAGATTCTAAAAGACATTTTATCAATTGTCACAAGATGTTAGCTTTGACACAGGGAGTACAAAACTAACCATTCTTGAGGACCAGAACTTAGGCCAAGTGAAGGTCATTGGTCTCTGAACCTTTCCAGTCTCTGCACAGCACTGAAATTCTGATCGGCGAATATTCTCTGCAGACACATTTCTTCTAGGAGTTTCCATCCACAGTCAGATGCAGCTTCTTCTCAGAAGTTCCATTTACACTGCCACAGCATGTATGTGTGAGGCAAGCACTGGTCCCTAACCTGGGGACCCTCGCTGCTGCAGATATTTCCCCAATCAAAAGCACAGAGTCATCTACTTGCTCTTCCCATATCTGTGTTCTCACTGATGTCACAGTTTGGACCGTTGTGAAGGATGGTTTTGCTTTCTCTGTCCAGTGCACCTTAGAAACCCTAATTCTCTCATTTACAAAATAAATTACAAGTTCTTTAGAGTCTTTTCAAACAGTGTAACTTGGAGCTGCCAAAATTGTATATAAGGCTGATGCTATGACACAACTCTAGGTCACGTCTGCATCTCACATGTACACTGTCCATTCCTTAAGTACCTTTTGAGTAGTTTTTGAAGTAATCAGTTAGAAGACAGGAACCATTATGCCATATTTTTAAAAATAGATTTTTATTTACTGTGAGAGTTAAGTTGCTCTGTTTCCTGGAACCTGAACTTCCCCAACTCATGACCTCAGTTTGTTTTTGAGAATATTCTTACCTTCCCTGACTTGCTACTTGACCCCTTGACCCCTCCCTAATTACATGGTGGATGACCACATGATATTTTTTAAAAAGATTTTTGTATTTCCTTATTGCCCCATTATCTCCCTTCTGTAAAACTACTTGTGATTTTACTCCTTAAAAGGGGCCCAAGAGATGGATTCAGGGCTGCTCTCTTTAACCCAATTTAGGAGGAAGTCACTGGCCAGCTCTTGAGTGCACCCCAATAAAAACAAAACTTGCTTTAAATTTGGTTCATATTGTGTTAATAGTCTTATTCTTGTCTTTGGAATTAACTTTCTCATCTTTAATGCCCATGTTAAAATTTATGTTAAAACATGTTCTTTATAATCAACAGTTTTGCTTCACAAAGAATTCCTGAAATTTACTTTCATGGTTGAGGCTATAATCCCATCTTCACTTAAGGGGGTATCTCCAAAGGAACCTCCTCAGGCTGCTACAGGCTGTTGTATGGGAGGTCAACAGCAAAAGAAGTTTTTTAGAGCAAGGCTTCAATTGAAGTTACTTGTCTGTTCTAAAAAAAGTAGAAACTGGATGAGCTTTGTGGTTTACCTTACAAAAGGGTGGCTTCTAGGTCACTGGTGGGAAAATGTTAATGCATAAGGGAAATAGCTAAAAGCTTAAAAATTTACATCTCAACAGAACAGGGGAAGTACAATTCCAGGTTTCTAAAACAAGCCCTGGAAGAAGATAAAGCTAAGGCTCTGTGAGGCCTCTGCTTGACCCCCATCTCTGCCGTGCTCTAGCTGTGCTCCTGTATTCCTTCTTTGAATGTTCCACCTGCTCTCTCATTATATGTCACGGCTGCAAAAATTCCTTTCCTAGTGAAGGAGAAAGCATATTCAAAAAATTTCAATAGCTTTCTGTATTCTATGATGTGGGATGGAGCAATTTTAAAATTGCTTCTGAACTTTTCCTTTCTTACCTTGACTAGAGAGAGTTTCAGCTGACATGAACTCTCTTCCAAGGTGCACTTCCACTAGAGTTCAACGTTGAGGATTTCTGAGTGTATTATGCTTCTTTCTACCAAAATCTTTGCTTTTAATTTATTCCATTTTTCACTTTACTTAATTAGCCCTGCCTTACTTAATCAGTATTTCCTCAGGTTCCATTTGGACACTACTTTGCAAATTTCTTACGGGTTTGTGAAATTCTGCTTTTTTTTCCCCAAGGGGGAATGTGTGTAAAACCATTTTTTTTAAATCTATTTTGACAGTGTATGCTGAAAATCATTGTAAGGAGAACAACTGTACAAAGACTCAAGTATGAGTTAATGCTTTCTCAGAGACACAAAGAGAAATTTAAGCATTATTTGTGACTGATCAAGAAATATATACTAATTGAATAGCTAATTATGAAGATAAAGACAGTAATTAAACACAAGTCTGTTTTATTTTGTGTTTTTCTTATCAAAAACCACAGCTCTCCTCTGTGAACAAAAACTGAAAAGGAACCATGTGTGTAGAAATAAATGGATTGCTTAGAATTTCACTACTGTGAAGGGAAAGCCTACTTTGAACCTGACACAGGTTCAAAGAGTTATAGATTGTCTTATGGTGTTACACCATAATGATAACTTCTAAAAAACAATTCATCTCTGTTTTTCAGTTAAATAGTAATAATAATACATGTCAAATGTTATCCTGCTCTGAATAACTTTTTCTACTTTTGATGTCTCATTAAAGACTTTTTTTTCTTTTTAACAAACTCATTTTAAGTTACCTGAAATAATAAGTTAAATCTTTAATAATTAATTAACTTAAATTTGGCTAAAAAACCAAAAACATTACTGTAACATGTTTGGTTGGAAGCATCACCCCATCCCCATGGCATCCATTTTAAAGTGTTTTGGGTAGAACTTTCCATCCCAAGTTCCCTCTCCTGGAAGTTGCCTCAGTCCAAACTCTACCTCTGAGAAAGCCCACCAAACAGTGACCTCCTCCGCCCAGAGAGGTTCAAGATCACTCCCACAGGCTATTTAAACTGCCCCCCAGAGTAGGAACACCTGGTCTTTCTGGTTTTCCTTTCCCTTTTCCATGTTTTCCCAGAGGACCACCCAGGAGCTCCAGCATCCATTAAACTGGGCTTTTTCTAATTTGGTCTGGTTTGGATTATTGCATTGGCAGAGAGGCTTATCAGGTCAGAAAACACTTTACATAATTGTTACATATTTAAGATAACACATTTTCTGTGTCATAGCTACAGCCCCCTAAGCTTTAACTTAAGATTACCTCACTAAAATTGTTTTCTAAATTTTGCAAGGTTATGTTCAGTCTGTGGTGATCCCAAAAAGCCACCAGGGAGACCAACTCACTGAAATGCAAAAGTGAGGTTTACTGGGTGCATGTTATAAACTGGTAGGGATCTCATCAGTGCAGCAGGGAGAGGAGGTACCCTACCTTTCTAGAGAGCATTATTTAAAGGTAAAACCCAGAAAAGTTATATTAGCAGGGTGTGTGCTGGCATGTGATCCTATCTACACTGGTTGGAACATTAGTGATGGACTGTTTTTGGGTGGTGCCTGAGTAGTATCAGTTTGTGGTTTTTCTTTCAACCAGGTATTGCCATTTAAAACTACTGAGACTCAGGCCTCTATTGAGTTTTTCACAGCTGAGTCCTACATTTCCTAATTCACAAATACAAATGACAGGACTCACTCACGGATCCTGCTTGCCCTTGGGTTTAAGGAGATAGTATTGGGACCTAAGAATTTTAGTTAACAGATTTTTCTAGGGCAGTGGCCAGCCTACCAGGCCCTATAGCTCTGATCTTTTGAGTACAACCAAGTTGTAATTATAATCCTGAATGTGCTCTTTGGTTATGTGATTCTACATAAAGAACCAAAGTGTCTTTTTATTGTAAAACCATTTTAGTTAATAAATCCATTAATTAACAACTGTCGGTCTATTTTTTCTGGTATATCAATGGGCACTATAGGTAGCCATTTTGTCCCCCATGCCAGAGAGTTTCCCCTTGTCTCAGCATTTCAACCTGTTCTGAAAAGGGAGCATGGGATGATGTGTTTCTGCAACTACTTCAAGCTGACATTGGGGCATTGCCATCAGGGCCCAAGTAGGCTGCAAGGCTAGCCAAACGTAAGGAAGGAATTCAGGCAATGGGGACTCATCAGAAGCATCTAGAAGCATCTGGTTCACAGATTCTGTTGAAGAGACAGGGAGCATTCACATCAGCTGGTCTGGTTCACATCAGCTTTCAGGAAGTCCAGGGCTCACAGTCATTCAGAGCAGGTTATAGTTATCAACTGATGCTTAGATGTATCTGCCAGTAAAGTGAAAGCCTACTGAGATAAGTTTCAACCAGGAATAGAAGTTAAAATTTATGTACTTAAAGAAAATTAAAACTTTTGAAACTTTTAGGACCATATTGTAGGAAAAAAGTACATAATAGATATCTACAAACAGAAGGAATAGATTCATATCTTTGAGTACTAACAAAACCCACAGATTTTGGTTCGAAGCATGTATATTTTTCTACTGTCCAGAAAGCCAGGCATGGATTGGACAGAGATGTCTTTGGCCTGATGAGAAACACCTTTAAGCTCATATTTAAATGACAACCAGAATAAATCTAAAATCTTGAGCTTGTAACCCAAACAGTAAGTAGTCATTGCTCTATCAGCTTATTAGAACTATACCATAGAAGGGGAAAGAAATCAGAAACATTTTCTATATCTTAACCTGAATTTTCACCTTAAATCACTTTTTAGAACCTCAAAGCCTGTGAACTTTTATATCCTCATACCTTTATATATGTTAAAATATTGTTTTTAAATCAAGAGACCAATTAGCTTTAGAAAAAGCAAGCCTTGATATATATTGAGCTAACAAGCTGGCTGTAGCTTTGTGGAAGGATCTGGATAACTTTTCTGTTAAACTGACATTACAGCTGGCCTAGCCATCAATACTACCAGAGATTCCAGAAGGATAAATAAATTATACCTGAGTACAGACCAAACAGCTTCTGAATCTATTAAAAATGACAGGGACTAGAGTCCATATCCAGGTCTATATAGCATTGGAGGCAGAAGTATCCAGAACAGCAGTCTTAGAGCCTTAGCCAGGCCCATAAAGTGAGTTTTTTTCATGTTGAAGAGGAACATTGGAAAGACTGACCTTATTTTGTCTAGGCAAAAGTGGTGCGATCAATTTTCCAATGTCCTGCTGTTTGTCCAGAGAAGACCAGGTTCTGGCAGGAGGTGTTGCACTGGGTCATCCTGACCAGTGGTCAGCGTTATCATAATCCAGGTGGCGACATCATGGTGTCCCATAATCTTCTTTGGAGATCTTGGGTTACTGCTAGCGTCTTGGAGTTTCTGTCTAATATAATAAGCTTTTTAAATGCCATATTCCGCAGATCTCTGAAGTATGAGGACTGTCTAGGTATATCTGATTAGACAAACTTTGTTTCTAGTTATTTGTATTAAGTTTGACTTTGAAAATACATACAGGGACCTAAATAAGGGTTATATCAGTAATTAATTGTATCAATACTTTAAAGATGACTGATTAACTTGTATTTACTAGCAGTCTATACTAAGTTAGCAGCTTTCATAAGACTAACAGTTTACATTCTGTCAGGTTAAGCCGTAAAAAAGAATGATTTTGAATTGAAACCAATAAAGAGTTATTCCGAGTGTAAAAACAAAACAAGTTCTTATCCAGTGTTTCATGCTGTCTCTTGCAAAAGCAAGGAAAAGTTTCCAGGGTGAAATGGAACAGGAGAAGGTCTAAGGGCTAGGGATGTCCTTGACAAGTTCTAAGCTACCACAGCCACCTGTTAGGGAAGAGCCAGAATTCTTTTTGCCAGAGATAAGGAGGGCAACACCCTTTTTAGGGAGTAAGAACTTTCTCCACGCAAGGGGAGGGACTGGAAGCTTTATCTGAATGCCTGACCTTGGGAAAATGACTTTGTAGTTTTACCTCAGTTAAGTACAAGCCTTAGGAAACAACAATTTTACAATTGAAGTTCTTCTTAGTTTCAATACAAGAAGTTAGGACTCAGTTTATCTTATCCAAACAGCTTAAACCCAACAAAGTTATCAAAGACAAGAAGGCTAAATGTACATTTTTAACCGTGAATAGACCTTGAACAAGGAAATACATTTTTAAACCATTAGTTAATATTTGTAATGCTTTGACTTTTTAATATAGTTTCCCATGTTATGGTGATTCCCCATTACAATTTTTTTTCCTGTTGTTATTTAACAACTGCAGTTTTGTCATTGTTATGACTCTTAATGCAAACATATGACATGCAGGTGGTCCTAGGCTACCCAGTGAAAAGGTGTTTTTTTTTTCCACCAAAAGGTCAAGACTCAATAGGCTGTTTCAAACCCTTTTGACAGACTGGTTATGTCATTGTCTTTCTGCTTTATAAGAAATGAACTTCTCAACTTCTGATTAGCATTTGGTGCTTATGGCTCTGACCCTAATTTTTAGCCTTTTAATCAGTCCAAACACTAACAATATAAAACATTTTATAAGCACAAAATTCTCATAGTTTTAAATGTTCTTTAAAAAATTAAAATCTCTTAAATGTCTTCCTGCAATATCAAAAATGAAGTACCTCTTTGTCTCCATCTCCGGCAGCATATACATACCCTGTCTTTTAGATCTCAGCTTGCTCTACATCACTGTAGCTGGTACATCTGGTGACTGTCAGCTGGCACTGGTACTTCTAAAACTGTTAAGGTCCATCCTTGCAACTACACATTCTTTGGAACTCTAGTCCTGCCACACATTTGTAAACCACAGCAGTTTCCTAAGTTCCCTTTATGTCTTTATAACCATTATCACCAGGGCTACTCTTAAATTAACAAAGTCTAGGTGGCAGATCAAGGTATATTTTTGAGTAAAAAAACATTAAGGTCCAGCTTTAATACTTTAAATCCAATATATGTATATATTTTAAACCTTGTTTTCAGAATGGGACATGAATCATCATGCAAAAATCTATCCCAATCCAAACTATCTTGGAGATCTGTTGTCCCCTCCTGGTTAGGCCCACTCCATGTGGTCACCTTTAGTCAAGATGGTGTTGAAATCATGTGGCATCCATTATTTTTTCTAGCAAAATGGCAATCCAAAATCCAAATTGGAATTATGCCTTATGTTTTTTTTTCTTTCTTTCTCTTTCAGATTTCTTTTCTTTTTTGACCAGGTTTCTCTATAGCTTTGGAGCCTATCCTGGAACTAGACTAGCTCTTGTAGACCAGGCTAGCCCCAAACTCTCAGAGATCCTCCTGCCTTTGCCTCCTGAGTGCTGGGATTAAAGGCGTGCACCACCACTGCCCGGTTGCCTTATGGTTTCTTTAAAATAACCCATGCTTAGATTTTAAGTTATCAATTCCCAGTGTTACCAATTAACTTTCAACTAGTTTTATTTTAATTTTAACAGACTTTTGACCATATTTAACAAAATAAACTCATAAATCCAAATGACGGAATGTGGCTGTTCTGCTTTGTTTTCTTGTCCTGATCATTGTGTCGGGGGCTCAGACTGACAGACAGAGGAAACTATTAAATATGCAGGGGCCTAGCAAAAGAAGAGTCATAATCTAGAGCCAGCTTTTCAATAAAGAGCAGTGTAAAATTGTTTTAACATTATCTATACCAAAAGGTCATCTGAATTTCTGCTAACCCAAATCCAGTAACCAGAGCTCAGTGATAATTCCAAGGTCAGGCCCGTAAATGTGGCCACAGCAGTCCAAACCATTTCTGTCTCAGTTCCATGCTTGCAAGAAAACCTACAGAGACAATTTTTTCAACAAAACAAGCACATACAGTATTTGCAGGTATGAGAAACCACAGCAAACGCAGTTCACATCCCCTTCTGACCTTCTATAACTTTCCATATGCCTTCCGTCCGTTTTCCTCTCTTCATACTTTCAGCCTCCTGCCTTCGTCCTCACTTTCCAGATGACATACCAAAGTCTTTCTCACTTCTCAGACAACATAGAAACTCTTACCAAAGTCTTTCTTGTGGTTTACCTTAGTGGTATATAATATATTGTGTGACTACAATATTTTAAGCAAAAACAGAAACATGCATATACTATAACAAAAATAACTTTAAATTTACAACACGTAAAATCCTGTACCAGCGTCAAACATCTGAGACTAAACAATAGCTTTTTTCCATATGCTACCCAATAGTAATTTGTATCCACCCCCCAAATGATGACATATTCATAACCCATTGGGTCTGAATGACCAAAGCAGCTCTGATGGAGGGAAGTCTGGCTATAGTGTCACAACAGGGCCACTGCAGCTTAACACCTATAGCCAATGCCCTCGGCCTGCGGAGCCAAACCTTGAAGTCAAGGCACAAAGCCCCCAGTGCAGGCCGACGGAACCCACTTACCAGCATGGGGTGGGACAGGGTGGCATGCAGCATAGGTGGAAAAAGACTGTTAACCTCTCCAGCCATAGCAATTAACCCCAGATTCTCTGTTCAGTGTTTGAAATCCTATTGGGGCACATCCGCCGCTACAACTGTGACTGGCAGCTTTACTACATCATAACACCAATCCTATATAGCCCTGTGCTGCCCTGCAGAGTCATGCTTATATGGCAAACCTGCCCGTGTTGCCCCTGCATTACAGGCCAAAGCTGACTCCTTTCAATGAAATGTTATTTGCCATGTTCCTATTAGGAAAATATACCCCAAGGGGTAGTCCCCATGGTCTGTGCAGTCAAGTCAGTCATCAACAGAGATACAAAGACAGAACACAGAAGACTGACAAACACAACAGTTAGACAGAGGTCCCAGAACAGACTCCCGTGGGTACCAGATGGTTCAGTTTGTTGAGAGCCCAGATATTTGGCCTTGAAAAGACCAAAAGCCATACAGATGGGATGGAAGATGTTCAGTAAGGCTACCTGATCCCCAGATTCTTCAGATTCAGAGTTACAGACGGACATGACTGGATCACTGACAGGATGGTCTCAGATGAGAGACCCCTGTCCAGACAAGGAAAGGGGACACCTTTGATTCTGCCAGATCAGCTCCCCCCTAGTGCATCTGCCAGAACAAATTGACCTGTTCAGACTCAGATTCTGAGATTGGAGCCAACAAAAACAGAAGACAGACAGTCAAGACTTTGAACACTGATAGAATTACCCAGGTAGATCAGAATAAACCTTTGCAGTTGGGGGTCCCAATGGGGGTCTTTAGGGATCCAGGATGGTAACCCAAATGTTATAGTTAGTCTGTGGGGACCCCAAAAGACCACCAGGGAGACCAACTCACAGAAATGCAAAAGCAAGGTTTATTGGGTGCGTGTTACAAAGCAACAGAGACCTCATCAGTGCACCAGCAGGGAGAGGAGGTACCCCGCCCTTCTAGAGGACATTATTTAAAGGTAAAAACCAGAAAAGTTACATTAGCAGGATGTGTGCTGGCAGGTGATCCTATCTACACTGGTTGGAACGTTAGGAATTTCCTTTGGATGATCTGTTCCTGGGTGGTCCCTGGGTAGTCTCAGTTTAGGGTCTTTCTTGCAACCAGGTATTGGCTTAGGGAAAACTACTGAGACACCGACCTCTATTGAGTTTGTCATGGCTGGGTTCTATGGTAATAGTAATGTTGAGATTAAAACATGTTGTAAACTGTTGTTTAAAAATAAATACAGCTGCAAATAAATTAAAAATATGAAGGTTAAAATCATAAAGGTTTTTATGCTTTCTCATTGGATAAAGCCTTTGCTTTTTGAATAATCAGTAATTGCATTAACCATAAAGAATTCTGTATAGAGTATGATGCACACTTAAAGTATGACAGTAAAACTTATTTTAATGGACAAAATTTGTCTTATTAGCTTCTGATATTACTAGGACTCACAATGACACCAAAGAAGACACCAAACTTCGTGGAGAAAAGCATCCATACATGCAATGTAATATGAATTGAGCAGATTATATTTAGAAATATATACAAATACACACACATGTGTGTATATGCAATAACATTTTTTTAAAAGGGCATGAACTTGCAGGAGAGGGAGGAGTGTATATGGGAGAATTTGGAGGGAGGAAAGGGAAGGGAGAAATACTGTAATTAATTATAACCTCAAAAATTGCTTATTAGATAAACAAATAATACATTATATTTAAAAAACTTAACTATGATAACTAAAGTTTGAAAATAGTTTCGGTCTTCTTTGAAGGATTAAAAAGAAGGTAATTTCATCAACTACAAGAAAAAAACACTTGCATATACGAATGATCAGGACTGTATCCTGGTACTTCTCACTCATCCCTAGGAGGTCGTGAATTTTCCACATCATCAGATAGTGCATTCACATAGACTTCAAAAATGTTTGATATACTTATCTTCAACCTCTCACGTGCCTTTAACAGCTAAGCAGTACTTCTTAAATACTTTTGTAATGGTATTTTAAAAATTGTTTAATATATTTAATATTCTACTTAGTATATTTAAGTGATAAAATAGTACTAACCTTGGTTTTAATGAAGTTACCTTTGAAAATATCATACTTTTCATTTGTTCATACCTTTTTTGTTATGACTGCTTATCCTCAACCCTTATCTTTTTAAAATATTCAATATCAATTTATTGAAAGTAAAATTTTAAAGGCATCCAGAAGCCACAGAGATATGCATATTTATTTTATTTTTTTAACTTGAAGATTGATTCTTCTCTCATGCAGTACATGCAGACCACAGTTTCTCTTGTCTCTACTCCCTCCAGCTGCCCGCACCTCCCTTGTTGCATAGATCCACCTCTCCTCCTGTTCCTCTTCAGAAAGAGCAGGTCTCACAGAGATGATACACAATATAAGAAGGGAGGTCTGTGTATTTCACCTCTTTACCTTGGGCTCTGTCAATTATGTCTTGCTTATCTTTTTCTTAACAGCTTATATCCATTTATAAGTGAGTACATACTGTATTTGTTTTTCTTGATCTGAATTACCTCCCTCCCTCAGGATGGTTTTTGCTAACTGCATCCATTTTCATGCAAATTTCATGATGTCATTCTTTTTAACAGCTAAGTAAAACTCTTTTGTGTAAATGTACCACATTTTCTTTATCAATTCTTCAGTTGAGGAACATTTAGATTGTTTCCAGTTTCTGGCTATTATGAATAAAGCAGCAACGATAATACTTGACCAACTGTCCTTGTGGTAGGATGGAATATCCTTTGGGTATAAGCCCAAGAGTGGCATAGCTGGGTCTAGAAGTATATTGACTCCCAATTTTCGGAGGAATCACTATATTGATTTCTGTAGAGGCTGAACAAGATTGCACTCCCACCAACAATGGAGGCATGAGTCCCTTGCTCCATATTCTCACTAAAGGACGAACTGTCACTTGTAATTTTTATCTAGCCACTCTGTATTATTTATCTAGGGGTAAAATGGAATCTCAAAGTAGTTTAGATTTACATTTCCCTGATGTCTAAAGATGTTGAACATTTCTATAAATGTTTCTCAGCAATTTGTGATCTTTCTATTGAGAATTCAGTTTTGAACTGTATCCCATTTTTAAATTAGATAACTTAATTTTTTGGCTTTTTTGTTTTGTTGATATATAGTTTCTTGAGTTCTTTATATATTTTGGATATTAGTCTTTTCCAATTCTGTAGGTTGCTTTGTTTCTTCAATCAATTCTGTCCTTTGTCTTACAAAAACTTTTCAGTTTCATGAGGTCCTATTTATTTATTTATATTTATTTTTTGTTTTTTCGAGACTGTGTTTCTTTGTAGTTTTGGAGCCTGTCCTGGTGCTAGCTTTTATAGACCAGGCTAGCCTCGAACTCACAGAGATCTGTCTGCCTCTGCCTCTTGAGTGCTGGGATTAAAGGTATGCGCCACTACCGCCCGGCTGAGTTCCAATTTTCTGTTCATCAAGTTGTCTCCTGTACCAGTGTATTTAAGGCTGTTCCCCACTTTCTCCTCTATCAGGTTAAACATTTTATATTTTATTTTTGGTCCACTTAGACTTGAGTTTTGTGCAGGGTGATAAATATGGATCTATTTGCATTCTTCAACATGTAGACATCCAGTTAGACCAGCATCATTTTTTGAAGATGGTGTCTTTTTCCATTGTGTCTTTCTTGCTTCTTTATCAAAAATCAGGTGTCTGTAGATGTGCACATTTATGTCTGGGTTTTTAGTTTGATTCCATGGGTCTGTTTTCACGTTGATACCATGCTTTTTATTACTATAGTGTTGTAGTACAACTTGAAATCAGGGATGGTGATACCTCCAACAGTTATTTTATTATTCAGGATTGTATTAACTATCCTGGGCTTTTTGTTTTTTCATATGAAGTTGAGAATTGTCCTTTCAAGGTCGGTAAAAATTGGTCTTGGAATTTTGAGGGTGCGTTGCACTGAATTAGTAAATTGCTTTTGGTAGGATGGCCATTTTTACCATGTTAATCTTAGCAATCCATGAGCATGGGAAATCTTTCCATCTTCTAATATCTTCTTCAATTTATTTCTTCAAAGACTTGAAGTTTTTTTTAATCATATATGACTTTTACTTACTTGGTTAGGCTTATCTCCATTTTCCCTGTCTTTGTTTTTTCTTTTATCAAAATATTGTTTTGGAAAGGATGAGAGTTTGGGCTTATAAGGCTATGAACAAATGGGATTTCTCCTGCACTGCTAACAGGAGTGTAGATTGGCACCTTTCTAGATATTATATAGCTATGTTTGCAAATACAATTCAAACATCAATATTGGCTCAGCAATTAGCCAAATGAAACCACGCAACAAACGAAAATAGGCATCTGGACAAGAATCTTCTTTATAGCATAATTTATAACAATGAAACATTGTGAGCAATCTAGCTACTTACAGTGTAAAGATGGTTAATTTGTGGATAAAAAAATCTTTGGATTACATTCAATTGCTAATAGAAATCTTTCAAAATATTTAAGAATGTGTGACCATATTTTTAAACAAATTTCAAAGGAAGCTGAGTATGGTGTTACCCTTTTGTAATGCTATTACTTAGAGGTTAGCACAAGAGGGTGGAGCACATCTTCAGATCAGCCTGGGATCATAGCAAGATCCTGCAATATAAAATATAAAATAAGACATGCAATATAAAAATTGTATATAAACAAATGAAAGAATTACAAAACAAAAAGGGGGAATATTTCCTAAGTTATCTTGTTTAAATTATACTCTCTATTACTTAAGGCAACCCATAATTTAATTGTTAAATAGTTATCTGGCAAGTGAGTAAAAAGGTGGTAAATAAAAATATTTGTGAAATTAGGTTAGTGTACACCTGGAAAGGATGGAAAAATAATTTCTTGTCTAGAAAAAAAGTGAGACACATGGGAGCTAACTTTGGCTCAAAGCATTCTACCCAGGCAGGTCAGGCTTTGAGAAATGAAATCATCACGGAATCATTTACCTACATAACCTGAGGAGTAGCGTTGCTTTGTGAGTTAGATCTAAAATCCCATACGATGATACTTAAAACTGCTACCATTTAATTAGTGATAGGTTCAAAATGATAAGGCCTGACTGACAAGTTTGAAGGAATTTTTTCCCTCTCATATAGGTCAAATGCAGAAACTGATTGACATGCTTTAATTAAATGATCAAATTCACTATGCATCTTTCACTAAAGCCTGTGTGTTGCTGGAGAACCAGTAAAACCTTGAACTCATAATAAACTTGAACATTTTACTGTTTGCCTGAGTGCCTTGTGTTTGTAGGTTGTCTCTTTTCCCTTTGAAGGAATGACATTTTATAGTCAGGAGTATTTTAATGTGTGTGCTGGTAACCAAAGCAAACATTTCTCGTTAGGACCTAGTCGAACATCTCATATCATTGCCTGGTCCATCCTTGACAGACTGAACTTAACTAGGAATCTGTAGTTAATTAGTGATTTCAGCACCTGATTCTATTATTAATCATCATTTTATGGGGTGATTGAAGATTGGATACAGTGGTGACCTTTACTTAATGAGTCTTAATTTCAGAAGTTCATTGTCATTTATATACTGAGCCATAGGGAATATATGGAGTCAGAGTGTTTTTGAACACAAGTAGAAGTGAGAGCCAACAAAGATGCTCTGTACATTGTCTTTGGAAGTTGAGCAAAGAGGTCAGGAGGTATGGCTGGAGTTGGAATACAAGTTACTAGACCGGCACTAGAATGATGTCTCATCTTTACATCTTTTTCTTTCCAATTTTGAGCCTAAATAGTTATAACATCTCCAGAATGTATGACCTACTATTCTATGTTGGAAAGACATATTTTTTCTTTCCATTTCACTGTCATGTGTAATTGTACTCCAAGAATAAGACATAGTCGATTATATCCAAGATTCTGCTTCAGTCGAACCTTATGGAAATGATGAAATCATGGGCCTTGAGCAAATGGTACAAGGAATTGTATTCAGTAGAACAAATGGGAGGTGGGGATATATTTTGCAGGTGGGAAAGCTGTGAGTCACCAAGAACTAGGCTGACAGCGTCTATGAAAAATCACAATCATTCTCATGCATAGAAAGGGAGAAGTGTCTAGGAGTAAAGACTAACCACCAGTTCATATGCACAAGAAATGAACATTTCAGATTCCAGGCACCTGGACCACCAAAATTCGTATGATCTTGAAGGAGCCGGAACTAGATTCTCCCGAACAGCCTACAGATGAAAGTGTAAGCTGACTAAGGCTTGTCATGGCCCTTGTGAAGACACTAACCGATTACCAAACTTTTGTCCTACACAATCAACTGTGAAATGATAGTTTCGGTTGTTAAGCAATCAAATTAGTGATAATTTGTTACAGGTGCAATGGAAAAGCCAGCATAAATCTACTGTGAAGAAAATGATAGTTATAAATGACCTATAAGTCCTAGTGTAAAATAAAATTAAACTGAAATTTAACATATTGATAAATTAATAAATACCTTTTCACTGTCTAGGTACAAGGAAATAAATGCTCGAAAAAATAGGTAACAGTCCTGGAATCGGGCTAGAGTGCTGGCTCAAGTGGCTAAGAATCTTTGCTACTCTATCAGAAAGACTGGAGTTTGAACTACAATGCCTGTCAGGCCCAGCACAGATGCTTTTAGCCCTAACTCCAAGAGCACCTCTACTGGCCTCCACAGGCACCCAAATACATATCTGCACGTACACTCAGATAGGCACACACATATAATTATTTTTTTAAAGGGCTAGAAATAGTTTTCTGTAGAGATAAGAACCTCGGCAATAGGAAGACTTGGTTCTTGAAGATAAGATGTTTATTATTATTTGATTTTTACATGTATGTAAATGTATACATAACACACTAATAAGAGTTAATAGAAAATATCTCAGCATTATAAATGTTTTTTGCTTTTTTTTAGAACTGTTTTTAAAGATTTTAAAACTTCAATTATTATTATATTTTTGATTACCAGGGAGGGTCCTTTTGACATCATAGCCATGAAAGCCTGCACTCCAACCCTGTGACAAGATGTGTGAGAGCATCTACTAAAGGAAAGAAACATTTATCTTGGTTCACAGTTTCCAAGATTTTATTCTGTGAACAATTGGTCCCATCACTTTGCGGCCTGTGTTAAAACAGAGCATCATTGTGGGGAACACGAGTAGAGCTAATGAGGGGGAGCAATGGAGGGGAAGAGGAAGAATATACAGTTCAAGGTAGACTCCTAGGCACCTGCTTCCTGTTCTCTCCTGATAAAGTTTCCATTATCCTATGAGCTAGTTGATCAATGGATCTCTTAGTGAGTCAATTTATGATGAAGTCAGAGGTCTAATGAGCTAGTCACTTCCTTCCTCTGCTTGATTGACCAAGATATCACTACTTTTGCTTTGAGAGGAAATTCAGATCCCAGCCATAACAATCATTCTTATTTCTGTATGACTGTGCAGAAAGTGCATACATATTTTGATGTTTAGAGTAACTTGTGATGCGATTCAGTACATAACACAGTCAACTTGATAATGCTCAGCCAACACTATTGGATAACTATTTTAAAATATTATTTTTAATTGAAGCACTCATGTCCAGTTAGATCTTGTAGTGATTTCATTTCTTTGAATTACTTCTTTAAAACATTTAGCATTGACTTTCTAACTTTTGGCTGTTGGTATTGTTAGTATGAGCACTTGAGTTTGCATGGGAAAAGATATGGTTGGAAGGCAGAGCCACCCTGGGGAAAGCCCCCAGGGCAATCATTGAAAAAGACCCCAGCACTGATAACTAGTCTAAAATTTGATATATTGTTCTGCTTCTGTGACTTGTTCTTCCACCCAGAATTTATATTGTCTCCACATTGCATTTTGTCTGTAGTAATGATCTTTACTATGTAAAATAACTGAAAATCACATCCGTTCTATATTACGATGATGCTAGTGCTGCCACATTCCCTCATAAACTGCGTACTCAACCCAACAAAACATGCCCTGACAATCCATCCTCTAAATATTTCTCTCCTACATGCATTAATAATGGTGATTTTTTATAGCAGTATGTGAACTGGCAAACAACCAAGAGTACTAAAGTCGTGTTTTTTCTTTCTTTTAATTTCATTTTATTTCTTTTTATGAGATTGGTTTATGTTATTTGATTTCTCATTAAATTTTATATTTGTGAGTTTATTTTATGATTTCTCTGATATGCCAAGACTCTCTTGCTGCAAACAGCAGTAAAAAGATGGATAACCTTGCAGAGACAGTTTATTTCACTAAAAAATAGTCTATGATTTTCAACCAGCAGCATTTTGGTATATTCATGATTTGAAGAATAATCTAAGAATCTAAATTCTTTTTGACTTTTTAAAAAAAGCAATCCTTTATGTCATGTATGCACCCATAAAAACTTCAGTCTATAAGTGCTTTTCATTCCAAATTTTAACACTGTGACTAGTGCTTGTAAGTGAATCTTACCTTAGATACAGAGTGAAGGTGAAAGTAAATTGGATACCCCAGACCACTGTTAGCTTTTCAAAGAGTAGGTGTGATAGCATTAACTCCTTATTCTTCACAGTCTGCTCTGAAGGTGAATAATCTTGTTGATGTGACAGACACCTGAGACACAGTTCTCATTCTTTCTAGACCATGAGCCCGCTGCTCCACAGTTATTCACAGTGCTCCAGCTGGTTTTCTCTGACTCTTTCACCTGGCACCAAGTTGTTTGATTTGATTTGAAACAAACAAATGAGCAAACACCCAAGGAAACCAGTTCACAGGGTCACTAAAGTTTGTGATTCAATATGAAAGGAGCACATGGATTTAAAAGATGGGTCCAGGGAGGCAATGGTTTGCTACAGCACAGGTAACTCTAATCAACTATTGAGGTGTAACAGGGAGAGTTCTAGATTTAAAAAAGGGTAAACTGAAAGTGAGTTGGTGATTGTCAAGGCTAGAGAAAGGAAGAGGGATGGGGATTAGGCAATGACTGCTCATGGGTAATGATTATGACTTTTTTAAAGGTCGTATTATTTTTGTGAGGCGCAGGTTTGCAACCTGTGTGTGTGTGTGTGTTTGTATATGAAGATGCATCTGTCCTTTTCTTTTACTTTGAGACAGGGTGTCCCTTCCTGTTAGATGCTCCGGATCAGCTGGTATTCTGCATACTTTGAGATAGCAGGCCTGTAAGTTCCTGGGGATTCTTCTGTTTCTGCCTCCCATTTTGTCACAGAAGGGCTGGGGTTACAGACAGGGGGAACGATGGACTGTTTATAGATAACTTCCAGGGATATGAACTGCCATCATCAGACTTTCACGGTCAGAAATTTTAATGGTCACCATCAAACCATTTCTCTGACTTTGAGTATGATTTTCTTTGGGGGATGAGGACAATGTTTTAAAATGGCAATAGCTGCAACTTCTCTGAATGTATTAAAAACTTTTGAATCATACTATAAATAAATAAAAAATTATTTGTCAAACTATGGTGGAGTTAGACTCTTCCAACTTAAAAACTTATGCAGTTACTTCATGAGTAATTTAAATTAGTGTAAAAGGAGCCCCCAATTTTAAAAATTTTATAGTATATTTCATAAAAAATATAAAAAATACCTTTTTAGAAGAATATGGGGCTTTGACTTATAATAAAAATTCTTCACTCAGGAGCCATGCTGCTGTGAAAAATAGTGTGTGCTGTGCTCAAACTGTAATTACTATTTTTGTGACACTGTTTTGATTCCTTGAAGTACCATGATCCAGTAACATGAAGCCAATACTGTGTGGGTTTAAAACAGCTAACATACACAAGACTAGTTTATTTTCCTTCCAAATGTTGGTTATAATGGAAAAATCACACAGTTAGCCAAAAATGACTTAATGTTTCCAGAACAAACATGCATAAGATATTAATACCATGAAAAATATTGTATACCATGGCTAAGTGGAACTAAGAATGTAAGATTGAACTAACATGTGAATACCTACTGAAATGGTAAATGGAGTGAAAATGTGATCACTTCTATGGTAGCAGAAGTATTTGGCAAAATCATAGAGTATCTCTTGACTAAAAGTATTTTTAAAACTAGAAATGGAGTAAAATGTCCATACATCCCTGTAAATATCAGTGAACACCCTCCAAATAGCACTGTGCTTGGTGGAGAATGAATGAAGATGCTTATCATTACATCAACCCATGATGAAGGTTTTTTCCACCATTGCTATTGAATATCAACTTTGAAGTTCTATCCAGGTCAACTTATCAGGGAGAAAAAAAGAACGCTAGATTGAAAGGAACATTTGAAGCTGTCTCTCTTTGCAAATATGTTCCTGCTCGTATGAAATTTTAAGTCCACTGAAAACTGTTGAAATTCATTGAGTTCAGTAATTTTTAGGATGCAATACCAACAAAATTACTGTATAATATATACATACAGTGTACATAACAATGTATAATATAATAAAGGTGTACATTATTTTCTTTTAATTCTTTTCTTCCTTTTGTTAAAAATAGATTATTTTATCTGAGTTGACATGAACTTTGCTCAGTTAATGTAGAGCAGCAATTCTTAACCAGTGGTTCATGAACACTTTGGGAGTCAAATGACCCTGTTACAGGGATTGTTGAAGACTTATATTATAATTCATAACAGTAGAAAAGTTACAGCTATTAAGTAGCCAGAAAAATAATTTTTTGGTTGGGGAAGTTACCCCAACTTGAGGAATTGTATTAAAGGGTCACAGCAATAGGAAGGTTGAGAACCATTGAGTAGAGATATACTGGTGTCTTCTATTTTCTCTGGCTTTTACATTCTTCCCTTTTTCCATGGGGGTTCCCTGAGCTTTGAGGGGGAAGGATTTGATGAAGAAAGCCTGGTGTCTTCTATTACCTCTGGCTCTTACACTATTCCTTTCTTCAATGGGGGTTCCCTGAGCTCTGAGGGGGAAGGATTTGATGGAGATATGTCATTTAAAGCTATACATTCTAAGGTCTCTTTCTCTTTGTATGTCTTTCTGTCTGTAATGTCTTGGCTGCATGTCTCTGTGTTTGTTCCTATCTGCTGCAAAAAAAGGACACTATGATGACTGAGTAAGGCACTGATCTACTTAGATTGATGAATATAGCAGAATGTCATCAGGAGAAATTCTAGCATTTTTTTTGCATTCCAGTAGTATTTGATTAGATTCTGGAATATCTAATCTGTGGTTCTTGCTCACCCAAGAGTGTTGGGCAAAGGTTCCATCTCGTGCAGTGGGCCTTAATTCAAATCAGATATTGGTTGGTTACTCCCACAAACTTTGTACCATCATTGCCCTACCATGTTTTGTCGTCAGGACAGTATTATAGTTCAAAGTGCTTGTGGCTAGGTTGGATATTATATTTCTCTTTTGATATTCTGAAGAGTATCTTTCCATACCAAAGACTAAAATGTAGGGGTGAAGGTTATATGTAGGAACCAGTTTGACTTCTCCATGTTCAATGAATCATGTTGTTGTTGTTTTCAGCAATGAGGTCTTGCTGTCATCTTTTGGAGAGCAACCTATTGTATTGGGATAAGAACAACCTGCTCAGTATGTATGATGTTATTTGTGTATTTGTGTGTATGTTTTCTGGGCTGACCTTTTGGTATTGGATAATTAATTGAGAAACTCTGTCCTGATAGAGACTATTTGTCCTTCTTTGAACATTCCTTAATTGCTTGTAGTAGAGCTCTGTGAAATTTCCCCCTTCCATGTTAACATGCCCATTGGTGGTGTACTTTCTCGGGTCTCATTTAGGCAACCATACTATTGAAGTATCATGGGTGAAGCTTCCCTGTCATTTATAGAAGCCTTAACCTCACGGCATATCTCTTGGTCCTCTGACTCTTGCAATCTTTCTGCCCCCTCTTCTAAGTTTCCCTGAGCCTTAGGTAAAGAGGTTGTTTTGACGATGTATTAATTGGTGCTTGGCAGTGAGAGATCACTTGTTCTCTGAATTTTGACCATCTGTGACTTTGCTTTTCTATAATGGTCTCTGTTAGAAATTTTTTTCCTAACGCAAGCTCTCTGCCAATGCAAAATCCCAATCAAGCCAAACCATAACAAGCCAAATTAAGAATTATCCAGGTTTAATGAGAGTCCTGTGCTTTTGGGTGGCCCTGAGGGGGAACCAGGAGGCCTCAAACATGACCACTACCAAGAGGAAGGAAGAGATCATGTGTTCCTCTTTTGGGAGTTCATTTAAATACCATGTGGGAGTGGTCCTGACTCCCCCCCCCTCAGGGAGGAGACATGACCTAGCCTGCTGGGATTTGGAGTCCAGACCAATACAACTCTCAGGCCTGGGGGCTAGGATAGATGCGAGGGGGTCTATGCTCCCAACTTAAAAGTCTCCTTCTGTTACAAAGACAAGTTTCTTCATTATGGGTAAGAGCTGTAATTATCTGTGGTTATAGAGATAGATACTTAGAATGCAGTTAAGAATTATGCTGGTTTAAAAATGATGGTAGTAGGCTCTTCTCTAAGATCTATGACCCAGGAAGTTTACTATGGTTCTGGTATCAGATATCATTTCCTTTCTGTTGAAAGAGTCTTAAGTTCACTTAGAGAGCTGTTGCATACCACCAAAATCTGATTGCCACTAATGCACCCTTAGGGTCAAAGGGCAATGGTGGTGATTGTTATGGTAACTAAATTTTTACTTTATGTTTTGATTGTTAATGAATTTCCTTGCTTTATTTTTGTCTTCTGAGACTTTACAAGCAAGTAAAATTTGAAATGAGTGTTCCATTTCTAGGTTGGGATGACTTTGTTAGTGATAAGGCAACATATGGTATTTCCTGTTTTTGTTATCATGTGCTGTATAGCAATTTCTTCCAAGACTGAAACTGAAACTTTCCATTTTACAGGGCAGCTCTTTAAGACAGAAGGCAAACAACTCAAAATTGCTCCAGTAAGTGCTTAAAACTGACCAGATTCAGTAGATGTCTTCTTTCCAAAAGTGAACAATAAAGACAGCTGGGCATCACTCTTAGAGAAGCTGTCTAAGTCACTGTTTTATTGCTGTGTAGAAACCCCATGACCAAAGCTAGTCTTATAAATAAAAGCATTTTATTGGGGGCTTGCTTACAATTTCAGAGGTTTGGTTCATTATAATCATGGCCAGGAGAGTGGTGTGATGTAGGTAAATGTTGGATCAGTAGTTAAGAAATTTACATACTAATCCAGGACACACACACACACACACACACACACACACACACAGAGAGAGAGAGAGAGAGAGAGAGAGAGAGAGAGAGAGAAACTAGGCCTGGCCCTGGCATCAACTTTTGAAATCTTAAAGCCCACCCCCCAGTGATGTGGGTAATTCCCCTCTGCATGCTATGAACATGTTTTATTATTGTTGGTTAATAAAAAAGCTTCTATGGCCTATGGCAGGGCAGAATATAGGTAGATGGTAAAACTAAACTGAATGCAGGGAGAAAGAATGTGGAGACAGCTAGATGCCATGTAGCCACCCAAGAAGCAAAAAGTAACAAACTATGAGCCTTGTAGTAAAATATAAAATAATACAGATGGGTTAATTTAAGATGTGTGTGTTAGTTAATAAGAAACCTGATCTAACAGGCAAAACAGTGTTGTAATTAATATAGTTTCTGTGAAATTATTCAGTCTGGGTGGCTGGGAAACCAAAGCAGAGACTCTGTTTATAACCCAGCGGCACATGTCCTCTAATGAGGCCAAACTCACTTCAAAAGCACACATCTAATCCTTCTCACCCCCGAAACAGTTCCACTTCCTTGTGATTAAGGACTCTTATTTACATTATTATTCAAAACACCATGCAAGCCAAGCTACAAAGAAAACTGTGACCATCAACTGTCTAGAGGGAGAAGAACCTGGAATAGCTGCCTGGAAGAGGTTTTGAACAATTGAATCACTTGGAAAAGACCCTGTCCAACCTGTCAAGTTTCCTGTAAGCTGTGTAGCGTGATTCAGGTTTCCAGTTCTTGTGAGCTCTTACCCATGCTAGGGTGGAATTTGGTGTTGCAGCTGTCTTTTGAATCATTTCTGGTCTGTAAGTAACCTTTCACCTATATTCCTATAAGTAACTGTCGCGAGCCTTATTCCTGAGCGGGCATTCTGCCCTTACTTAGAGGTCTGCAAGTAAATACTCAGGATGACCACAGTGTTTGTTCTAGGAACAAGTTTATTATGCCAATAGTCAAATCTCCAATTGTTAGCAGGTATGGGCAAACATCAAAACTATAACAATCATTTAAATCTCTAATTATTCTTATGGCAGATATAAGTAAACATTAAACCTATAACAATCCTGGTCAATCAATCACATCACACCTTCAATCACATCACACATTCAGCAAGGGTTCCTATGTGTCCTAGGCAAGGTCTTCTATCCTATCTTACTGAGGCATTTGTGTATACGACCTGATAATGGTCCGTGGCTCTCGACGTAGGCCTCTGGATCAGCAAGTCTTGATCCGCAGGCAAGAGCTAGTTCTCTGGCTCTTGGACGGTCTCAGCTGTGAAGTTGCTGGTTCGTTGGATTCTCTATGACTGCTCTGACAGCATGTCTAGCAAGTCATTTTGAGAATGTCTCCTGGTCGTGAGCCTCAAGTTTTTATACTATTTGTGGCTATGTTATTTTTTTCTTTTTAGATTAACACACATGTCTGCTTATCATATAGTTACGTCACACTTGTTCACCAGCTCAAACTCTTATCACCACTGCACACATTGCTTCATGCTTTTTAGTTTCATTTTGTATGTGACACCTAATATTGCACCTTAACATTTCTGGGCTTATTTTTATAAACTCATATCATTTCATTTAATATTGTCTCCTAACACTCCTGGATTTATTTGTCCTTACAGACTCATAACAGTAACCCAAATAAAACTCAATGGTTCACCAAGTTGGAGTCTGGTGCTATCTGCACTTTGATTTGCCATGGGATCCCTATCATTGGTAAGTAGATGTCTATGTAGCATTTCCCAGGAAAAGTCTGTTACACAACAACACAGTAAATCTAAAACATTTAGAATGAGAGTCACTGTGCTATGTTGTTTTTAGGAGTTCCTAAAACCTTTTGACAAGAGTTATAGGTTGTATTTTGTGTATTGTTTATTTTGTACATTGTAATCATATCATTTGGGACATAAATTCATGTTTGATTTCTTACAACCTCTAATTTTGGTAGCTTGATATCTTTGTTTCTATGATAAAAAATAATAAATTTAAAATTAATCAACCACCACTATATTGATCAGATGCTTTTTTAGTTGCTACAATATGTATTTCACCTTTTCCATTCTCAGAAGGTATATTGATAAATCATGTTAAGCTGCTGTTTTCCATTGCAGATATGGTTGATTTAGCCCAAAGCCTTCTTGGAAATCAAATAACATAAACCAAGTAGCAGGTTTCTAGCCAAAGAAGTAAGATTGAACTGTTGAAATACTCTGAAATTATAGTTGAACTTTTGGAATCTTAGATAGTTGCTTACTAAAAAATACCAGATTTTTCGAAAGATTGAAATTAGAAATAGAGGTATGACATTCATATTTTGTGTAAATATGAGATATTAATATTTACTAGAGAAATTATTCCAAAATGATTTGCCCTAGGGCTGTTTGTGGAAGTTTTTCTCTAAGAACTTTGACTTTCTGCATGAAAGGAGTGTTAGACTGGAACCACGGCACACTTGAGGACATTTATTGTAGCATTTTGAATTCTGTTGGGCCATGAGTGTTAGTTGACTTCTGCAAGGGCTTAAGACTCTATAATATAGGTTTGCCAATTTGGCAACTAGCATGGTAAATAGCTTGACATTTTTACAAGACCAGCCTCTGAACAAAACCAAAACAAAACCAATCCATGGACACCAGGTTTTCAGTAGCTCCGTGGCTGAAAATACTCCATAAGTGTTGCCACTCATAATTTCTGGTAAAACCAGTGTTGTGTATATCACCATGATATATCAGATTCTGCAAATTTCCTTGTCTGTATTCGTTTCCTGGAATGGCTATTTTGTGAAATCTGTAGTTCTTCTTAGAGAATTATATTAATTTAAGTGATTTTGGCACTGTCTGAACTGTGCTTTTGAGCTGGTAGTCCAAAGTAACTGTTCATGAGTCCTCCTCTTACAAATTCTACTTTACTTTTCTATACCAGATGTTCAGATTTTTGGGAAAACCTTCTCAAAGAGCTGTTTATCTCTGGTATCAAGGACTAGTAATTAACACAGAAAATATCAAACAAGTATTTATTGAATGGTCTTAGATATATAGAGCTCAGTGGTAGAAGTCATGGCTAACAGTCACAAGATACTATATTTAATCCCCAGTTCTATAAGGCAAGCATAAGCTATATTTATTAAGTGAGATTATGGAAATTAAAATCATGGTTATTCTATTATTTTCTTCCTCTATTAAAGCAAGAGAACAAATTTTCTCAGCAGAATTACTCCTACTTGCAATCTGAAACCTTCTCTTCTCATGTTCTTCTGTGCTAAACTCAACTGTTTTTATTTATTTGTGCTGTGGGATAATGCTCTTGTACACTGTAAAAATTTGTTGCTCATACTGGTTTGAAAAATGCCAATTGGCCAGTAGCCAGAAAGGAGGTATAAGCGGGGATACCAGACTAAGATAATTCTGTGAAGAGGAAAGGCAGAGAGGCAGTAACCAACCAGATGCACAGATGCAGAGGAAACAAGATGAGAATGCTACACTGAGAAAAAGTACCAAGTCATGTAGTTAAACATAGATAAGAATTATGGGTTAATTTAAGGTGTAAGAGCTAGTTAGGCTATAAGCCTGAGCTAATAGGCCAAACAGTTTATAATCACTACAAGCCTCTTAAGTGTTTCTTTAGGACTGAATTGTTATGTGACTGGGCAGATCAGAAACTTCTGTCCATGTATCTGTCTGTCTATTATCTACCTACCTGCCTATCTATCTATCTATCTATCTATCTATCTATCTATCTATCTATCTATCTATCT